TGTGCAGCAGTTTCTCAATAGGAAGTATGAAAATTAGAAACATTGCAAAAGGGAGGACAAGAACCCTGAAAGATTAATATCCGGTGAGGTGTGAGAGGAAAACTTAAGCTACTTACTTTGCAGTAACTACCTCAGAATGGAAAGCTATTTTGGTAGCCAAGTGTGGAAAGTTAACATTTTAACTAAATAAAACCATCGGGTCATAAAGCAGGGAATGTGTATGAATTCATTAGTCTGGTTTTCCTGAGTTTATTTACTCTTTCAGAAGAAATTTTCCTCTATTGCTCCATGAAATATGAGTGTACGTGTGTTTATACTTTCAACTGCATTATCTTTTAAGGTCCTCTTATTCCTATTCCACAGCTTAATCCATGTATGCAATCTAATAATTATAATTGCTTTAACAGTTCTTTAAAAGTGAGCAGAGTACTTTTTTCTTTGTGTCTGTCTAATCTTATTGGGACACTAAAATTGAGAATGAAATATCTCCCGCAGCCTTTGACTGGCACACAAGATCTTTTCCGGGGTCTAGCTGGGGTTCTAACACCTTCAGTGAGTCAAAACCAATTTGTCATCCCAGAAAACCCAAACGGCCAGTTCTACTCCTTATGAAATCTGTCTGGACGGTAATCTACTGCTGGACACAATCAAGATGAAGATCGATACCATCCTTATTACAATTTTGTGGTGAGTCATACTTCACTTTGGATTGTTACGTAACATCTGGGAGAGATGTGAGCCCAGAAAGAAAATTATGAAATAGAATCATTACCAAGGAAAGCCAACCACAATGGAAAGGAGAATGTGGTATCAGAAAGATTCAGCCTGATAGATATTGTCACGAATTCAATGATTTGCAATGAGGCAGAAAGAAAGATATTCTTTCCCCAGGAGTACAAAAACAAATTGTCATTTTGTCATTGTTGCAAAGACACGTTGATTGACACTCAGTTGGCAGCATCCCACTGAGGCCTCTCTAGACCCCATCAGTCAAACTAGTGCCAGATCTTATAGGCCATGCATTAAAAAAATCCTCATTTGAAGCTAGAAGGACCACTATTGGTTTTTCTTCAAATAAATCTAGAAATAACATCTCACTCTTTTTTCTAGCAAAGGGAGTAGGGGAATTCACAGCAAATCAGAGACCCAAAGTTGAGTTTCCTGGGGCGTTACCCTTCTCTCTTGCCAGGAATAACTTAAAGTAGCTTTGGGGGTGGCAGTGCAAGCCGTCCTCGTGACTTCTCCCCAGTCTTCAACATTTCCCCTCACATCACCTGAGTGTTTTCACTTCTCTTTGTGACACTCTACAAGGGACCACCAATTAAACCTGCTTCTAAAGATGCAAATGGCCCTGGCAAGGGAGGTCAGGTGGCAGAAACACCAATTTCACCTTAAGGCTAAGCACAGAGAAGAGGGACAAGGCAGGGCTCACACGTGTACTGAAAAGCTTAAAGGTAGAATGTACATAGGACGTCAATCTTGTTGGTGCCCCTAGGTGAGGTTCCAGAGGCTGAGGAGAAGGGCAGCTGAGATTGGGGGATGACTCTGGGGAAATCATGGACCTGAATGACAGGACACGGCCATGGGAAGCACCAGGCACTCAGGGAGAGGGACCGTCTGAGGTGGCAAAGGGAAGTGGGCCTCTCAGAGTAAGTACGGTCTAGGGTCAGCCCTGTTTTCAGGAAGAAAATTAGAGTGAGCTCTTCCTTCTTCCTCTCTCCTGTTCCCATGATCTAAGACTTAGGCCAGAACTGTTGGTCTCAGGACTTAACTTCACAGTGGGCTTCTTTAGCCTTTTCGGTGCACATGGCCTGGTCCCATCGAAATCAGTCGCCCTTGTTAACTGTGATCACATGGTATTCTACAAACCACTGGCTTAGACAAAACAACATTGGGCTGCTTTCAAGGTGAGACTGTCTATATCTCAGCTAAGATTTGCAAGAGTCTGTCTCTTGTGTCTATACTGAGTCTTGTTAAAGTCAAGCCCCCTTGGTCAGCAGAGAGAGCCACAGTTTGCTAATCTGGATCGGGCTTGAAAAGTTGGGCAATGAATCAGTGTCCTTTATCTTCCTTTGTCATTGCCAGTGGTCATCGTGATTCATGTGACACAGTTCCTCGAAAGACCAAGAAAAAAAAGGCAAGACAGCAGAACAAAATTTACAAATTACTTTCTATTGCCTATGGTTTCGGGTACGTATTTTAACATTATTTCAGTTCATAGTTACGAGTTTCTGGGTCTTTAGAGTTGGAAGCGTAAAAAACAACCACAAACAAACATCTATGTGTGGTAATTAAATATAGGTATTGGGTAATTATAATTGTTTCTAGTTTATTTATTTATTTTTTTTACTAACTTTCTCACTGCAAACAAACTAAAAGATAGTGACTTTTAGCCCAAAACCGACTTCTCAAATGTGGAGGTTTCAGACTTTATAGATATGTACATGACACAGACAAATGAAAAAACTTCATATTATGGATTAAAATCCTAGGTTTGAATCTCCTTGTAACAGGATAGCTAGGAGATGAGGTCCAAACAGGATGCCACAAGATAACAAAACCATTAGTTTAGTGGTTCTCAAGGTGTGGTCAGAGGACCCTGAGAAGCCACGGCTTCTTTCCAGGAGATCCACAAAGTCCTGCCTTTTCCGACTATATATCTGTGTAAGGCCGGATTTTCCTCATATACATCTGCTAAAAGAGCATAACTAACAGACTGAATGCAGAAGTAGTTATGAGAGCCTGTCTTTGCTGAGGCCAGGCATTAAATCCATTTCCAAAAATATAGCACGATGACAATCTTCTTACTACATTTTTGGGGGAGGAAATCTAGTTAGTTTTCATGAAAGATATGATAGTTATGTTAACATGTAAAGGGTTAGTTATTATTTCGAATGAACACGTTATAAAAATTTCTTGGTTTTAATTTCTAACATGGTAAATATTAATATATATAAACCACAAAACCACATAAGCAGAAGCTCTTTAAGGTCCTCGATAATTTTTAACACTGGAAGAATCCTGATGCTGAGATGTTTGAGAATTGCTGCACGAATCCTGCCTCATTTTCCTCAAGTTAATTCTCTAAACCATGTAACCATCTAAAGCGTGGCTTAAGCTGGTTACCGCTCCACCCCCTTCCCAGTTTCCCTCCCAACAGTATGTTCATGCACTAAGGTAATGTAAAAATATTTAGCAACTGGTTTGGTGTGGGAATCCACCCATCAAAATGTTCGCACAATCAGTAAGCAAGAATTGTGACCAAAAGCAGCAGGTTCAGTCCCACTGGCCCTGAGCTTCTAGGCCCTCCCACTTGCAAATTCCTTCTGCTTCTGGTAATGTGAGAATTTCATCTCCCATCCAGAAGACCATTCTGCTCACTGGTGAATCCTCAGGCTTAGCACAGTACCTGGAACCTTGTCAGGGCTCTACCAAAGTACCTGCATCTGAGCCCATGTTTCCCTGTCCTGGATGCAAATAATTGTCTCATCTAGTGGTGACCCTCCAACCAGTTTGGAGCAATATGAGATGGGGCTTCCCTGTAATGACTAGAAGGGAATAGGTCACAAACCACATTCATCATCATCCTAATTTGCCCCGAAACGTTGGAGCTTCAGATGGTCTAATATTGTGCAGTGTCTTAAACATCTAGATCAGATTTGTTTAGGCTTAGAGGAATGGGTGAAATGCCTCAGATCTTGGCTTAACCAAACCACTTAAACCACTCTAGTTAAAACTGAGCAAGTTATATGAGTGCAGCAGAGTGAGCTCCTCACCAGAAATGCACGGAATGTACTTAGATGTCTTTTTTGGTGGAATGAGATTACGAGAATTAGGAAAACCAGATGCAGGGGATTTCCAAAGGTCGGAGGCTAAGCTGATGAGTGCCAGCTCTGCACACTTAGAGGGAGGTCTCCTGGAATGTGTACTTCCTCTCTGACTTGATGTTATGGGTTGATTTGTGCCTGCCCCACCGACCCCCCAAATCATATGTTGATGTCCTACTCCCCAGTACCTCAAAATGTGGCCTTGTTTGAAGACAAAGTCTTTTGGGAGGTAATTGAGTTAAGGTGAGGTCACACTAGGTATGGCTGGTGTCCTTATGGAAAGAAAAAATTTGGACACAGAGGAAAGACAATGTGGAGTGACAGGGAGGATGCCATGTGAATATTATGACAGACATCTAAAAGCTACGGTGAGAGGCCTAGAGCAGGTCCTTTTTCCTCACCTCCCTCAGAAGGAATCGACCTTGATATCAGGCTCCTTCTCACCGTCACCTCCAGCACTATGAGAAAATAAATTTCTGTTGCTAAGTCACCCGGCTCGTGGTACTTTGTTACAGCAGCCCTGGCAAACGTGCCTCGGGTTTCCAAATTGCAGCCCCGTTTTTTTCTCAGGGGAAAGAACTTTCTCTCAGGGGAAGAATTCTAAGGAGTTTTTTTTATTCGAATAAGCGAGGTATAGAAGAGTAATGAGCATTCCCTGTGATGAAGCTCTGACAACTCCCTCAACCACACATGGCTTATAAAGTTGGACTCCTCTTCTAGCTTCAGACTGGAAGGGATGTCAACAATCAGTGAGAGCAAGTGTTTGGTTCCCTTAGTGGTGAGAAGCAGGGAGTGTGTGGCCTGGCATATGTGGAAGCCAGACCCCTGCAGCATCAACACAACCCTCATTTAGGGATCTCTTTCCTAGAGCTCCTTCTTCTGCTCGACAGCCCTGCTGGAACGTGACCCCAGTGCGTATCGTTGCCACACATCGCCGTCTCTCATGTGTGACACTGTGGAACCACTCAGGGCTCAGATGTTGCTGCTGACCTTGGCATGCCCTAGTCTAAATACATCCTCTTCCGCTGTCCTTACACCCTGTTCTGCTTCCTACTTCCTCAAAGTCTTCATTCTTTCATCACATACTGACTAGAGTCATCTTTAGCTGCCACTCTCTGTGTTCCGTCTGCTGCATCCGCTTTGGTGCCAAGTCTCGTGGATCATTCCTTCTGACTTCCTCTCACTCTGCCTTTCCTTATGCAGCCACTAGCGGCACCATTGGTCAGGCCATTGGTGCCCCATGTGTGGACAATGGATGACACTGTTTGGAGACCAGGGATATTTTGATTTCCTTCCAGGACACCTGGAAGGAAAGAGTAAAGGATGAAGGGAGGCCTAAGGAAGAATGAGATGAGAGTCAGGGATGGGGTGCAGATTAGCAATCGGGTAAGGCTTATGAGGGGCATCTTATGCACCTTGTCATGGTAATAAAAGCAGTTGAAAGTTTGATCGTTTGTTGTGGGGGATTACGATTTGGTACGAATGTCAAAATGTCAACAACAACCACAAAATGTTGGTATCGGGATGTCATGGATCGTTGCAGAAGCTTCCTCCCGGTTGCTTGAATTTCCTTCCTTTAATATTGTACATGCTACCATCTTGCTTTAATACGTATTTTGGTTAATTGCACCATGTCATCTATTCATATAGTCAACAAACATTTACTGAGTATATTTCTCAGTGATGGCATTTGGTAAGGGACAAAATGGACTGAGTCCTTGTTATTTCCCTACCATCCTCTCCAATAACTCTTGCCCCAAATAACATTTTTAAGTTGATGATTAAAAAATTAGTAACCAAACATATGTGTATACACATATACATGCATTCATACATATGACAAATATTTTACAAAAACCCCAGATACGGATTTTACCTTATTTATTATAATCAAAATGAAGATACTAAAGAGTAAAGATACTTAGTGATTTCTGAGGTGACAAGCACTGTGCAAGTAGCATTATTTTTCTTTGATGCCTTTTTCATTTATAGGATGAAATGGAAAAATATAGGGACATTTTTGGAATTCTAGGAATTATCTCCTCAGTCATTCCATACTTTTGTTTTCAGCATTTTCCTCTTTCGGTTTTAAACTTGAGAACATTCAAGCTTGCTTTTCAAAGTTCGTGTGAAGAGAACAAACTTTATTGCTTGGTTCGGAATTCTAACTCCTCAAAGTTGTCCTATAAAGAGCTTTCAATTTTTAATTTTGAAAGGCAAAGAGATAAGCTGCTGCATCCATCCTTCTTCCAATTACTCTTGTTCAGACACTCCAAAGCATCAGTGATGCAGGCAGTTCCCTCTCCTCTCATCCAAGTGCAAGAAAACTTTCCATTTTTTTCTCTTAAATGATAACTGTAAGTCATCATAGAAGTTAACCAGTTCAAAATATCATATGACTTTTTTTTTTTTTAAAGAAAAAGTAATCACACAGACCATTCTCCGAGTGGTCAGAGATAATAAATTGTAAACTGCTGGATATTTTCTGGATTTAAATCAACTAAGTCAAAACTTTGGTCCATATTGGGCAAGCATGAGAATGAATGCCATCTGTGGTTAAGTGCTGGATTCGTCACACTCCAAGTGTCCACTTGCTTGCGTAGACTTGGAGAGGACCCAAGGGAGGAACTGGGGGTGAGGAAATTAGTGGAAAATGCCCAGTTTTTGTTGTCTAGTTTTCTAAAAGGATAAGACTTGTTTGAAATGGAGACATTCTGGTTATAAAAGTGGGAACTTATCTAGATTGTCTACAGGGTAATGGGCAGGAGGAGACAAGAAAGAGATACCTTGGGTGAAGGTGTCTATATGAACAAATATGAACAGACATGGAGATAGGAAGATGGGTCTCTGGAGACTTAGCTCGTATCCCATGAAGCGGGCATCTCGCCTTCCCTTAGGGCTGTAGGCCTATGCAGGTGTGCACATGTCAGCCATTCTTTCCATGTGGTTTCAAAGTCAAAGTTATTGGATGTGTATTATTAGGTGCCAGGCCCTGACCTGTGCATTTTGGAGGCATTGTCTGATTTAGTCCTCTTAGGACACAGGGACTACTCAGCCAGGGGGGCCTCATTGCGCAGGCAACATTTGAAGAAAGTCTTGAAAGAGGTGGGGATACCCAGTGCCATGCTCCTAAGGTGGGAGGTGCCCAGTGTTCTTGGGGTGCAGCCAGGAGGCCAGTGTGGCTAGAGAGGAGTCGGAGGTGAGGTCAGAGAGAAAAAAGCCTGATAGAGCTTTCTAGACAACCGTGAAATGGTTGTTTCCTTAGAGTGAAATGGGGAGGGAAATGAACAGAGATTTGAGAAAGAGTTTGATTCTGGACCTATTTTGAAGCTAACAGATGTTCTGATAGATGGCAGGTCGGGTATCAGAGAAGAAGAGGCATCAAGGACACCTGTGTGGTCTTCAGCTGGAGCACCTGGAAGGATGGAGATGCTGTTCCTGCGATGGGAAGACTTCCTGTGCAATCATCTGGGGGAAGACCAGGCATTCTCTCTAGACCAATTAAGTTAGAGGAAGCCATTAGGTGTCAAGGTAGAGAGGTGAAATTGGGACTCAGAAGTATGAGCTGATGTTTAGAGAAAAGGTCTGGGCTGTGGAACAAGTGTGAGAGTTCTCAGTGTACAGGCCACGGGACTCAAGGGAATAACCAAGGAAGTAAGATAAAGAGGAGGAGAAGACTGAGAACTAAGCCCTCGTCCTTTAGTGTTAAGAGGTTGGGGAGAGGCAGCCAAGGACACAGAAGAAGCCACCACTGCAGCAGGACAGAGGCAGAGTGCAGGGGCCTGGAGGCAAGCAGAGCACGTGTGTCTAGGAATGTCCTGGTCCGTCCGACTGTCCACAGAGATAGCACCTCCCGCCCCGCTAAGTGAAAGTCATGTCTGCACCTTACTCACGGTCTGGGAGTCAGGCATTAGTCAGGCAAAACAGTTTTCATGGAGAGAAAGCCTCTTTTATCCTGCCATGAGAAACCGAAGACTGTGAGAGGAGCCCGTGAGAAGGAGCTGCATGACTTCAGGATGAGTGGAGGAGATTTCAGCATCATCAGTCAGTCATTAACCGACTTCTTCATTTGCTGTGTTCATGCGGTTTCTAACCAGGCTGGAATTTGTTTAACAAAACGGTCATGGTCTCCATTTCCCCCAAATCCTTGAATTTAAAGATCATTTTTGAAATGTTAGGTCATGCTACAGATGCTATAGTGCACTCCTAGAGATGCCTCATTTTCATTTTCCTTATTTTATAGAAAAAAATAGCTATGGGTCCTAAATGAACAAAATTAAAACCAAAGTTCGCCTTGTGTTCACAGATATCTTCACCTTCTTATGTGTCCAAAATGCATTTTTCCAGCCATCTGTGGTTCTTAAAAGATGCCTACAAGCTGTTTTTACAGTATTTATGATTTAAAACAGTCCATTCTTCAAACTGTTTCAATGCTCTTTCATGCATGCTGTTAATACTCTTTGGTTTGGACTGGATCCCAAAGGAGCTGGTTTGGCTGCATCGCACCATGGGCATCAGACAAAGGGAAACCAAAGTCTGCCTTGTGGGGAAACATTGGCAGGAGATATGAAACCACCTGAAGCCTCAATTCTACAGGGTCCTATAAGGTCAGGGCATGGGCAAGGCGGTTTGGAGGGCAGAGCCTGGAGTCATCCCCAAGGTCATGCACTCCCTGGGAACTTGTGGCTGAGCCTGTGGGCAGAGAGGAGCTGATACAGGCTCAGTCCACTCATCCACTCAATATTAATTTACTGAATGACTCCCGTATCTCATGGACTTTTTTTCTGCATGAATTAACAATATGTTTATTTTATTACATGGAAGAAACCATACATAGCCTAAGAATGAGAGGCCTGGAGATAGTAGATGGGGGCATAGAGCATCAGCTGTTGAGTCAGGCTGCCTTGGGTTCAAATCCAGTACCTGGCCACGGTGACTTGGAGGCATTGCTCACTCTCCTTGAGTCTCAGCAGTCTCCTTCAGAGTAGCAATTAGGATGCATTCCTCGAGAAAGAACACAGACAATACGTGAAAAATACCTGTCGCAGTGATCCTCACATAGGGACTCAATACTTTGTAACATTATCAGTATTTCGTTTGTTGAAGCAAGGCGTGGGCAAAGTAAGTAGCCTAAAGGAGACTTCCTGTGCAGAGGCTGAGAATGTAAAGAATTTTTGCTCTAGAAGAAAAATGATGGATGTTCTATATCCAGACTATTGGTCACATTTTGCCTCCGGCAGACATTGATAACAAATCACTGCCTCCTTTTACTCGAGGATGGCTTCAGAGTTATGGCTCCAGGAAAATAGCAATTCACTGGCTCTTGCTTGTGAGATATAAGATCTTAACACAGTCATCCAGAGCAGGAAGCCAAGACAGGCATCTCTGAAAGCTTTTGGTTGGCACCTTTTTGAATGACGTAAAGGCAATTGACTCAAAGACAGCACCCCAGCACTGAAAATCAAGCAGTGTCTAAGCGTAATACTGTCTAGGTCCATCTATGTTGTGGCAAATGTGAAATCTAAAACAGAAAAAGAAAACAGAGCCTCAGAAACAGAGCTCAAAGGAGGGGCTGGAGAGATGGGTGGAAAAGGTGAAGGGAGATCGATAATATTGTGATAAGTTTGCATGATGTGATAAGTTAGTGAGATGTCACATTGTAAGGTATATAAATATCAAATCGCTATGTTGTACACCTGAAACTAATATAATGTTGTATGCCAACTATACCTTAAAAGGGGAGTCTTTAAGCCTCACGGGCAGCTTAGACCGCAAAAGAGGGCCCTCAGCCAAGAACACGTTTAGGAAGAAGTTTGATAGTTTCTTGATTCTCTAAGAAGTCAGCCTCCCCTACATACCCAGAGTAGACACTGCCTTCCCTCCCTCCCTCACTTGAAGTCCACCCTTGCTTGAACTCAGGGTGGGGGTGGGGGACAGGAAGGGAGCAGGGTCCCCCAGTTTCCTCCTCCAACCACAGCTCCGCAGTAGTCAGAGCTGGCAGTGAGGAAATGGACAGTTCATTTTCTCTGCCTTCTGAAGGGGAAGCCAATGGTTCTACTGCTCACTTGCAGTCCCCATGGTCAGCACCAGTGATATCCACCCCTGTGCACAGAGCACTGAAAACAGGTCTTTGGTGATAAATACTCCCTGACAGAGGAAACCAATGGGGATTCTTGGTTTCAGATTTTTAATTTGGCCTGATCTGGGTGTTTATACTGCCTGGTAGACAAAAGGGGGCTGCTGCCCAAACTGGTTGTTTATGTTGGGGAGAGCCACCTTGATATGTATCTATCAATGACTCAGCCCATCTCAGATCCATTGAAAACGATATTTCCTGATACGTGACTTCTTCCCTGCAAAGATCCAGGAAAGAAAACAAACAAACAAACAACAACAACAAAACAACTATGAGTAAAGCTTGCTATTTCTAGACCCTGGTGGATCCTTCCATGTTCCAAAGTCACAGTCACTTCAGCAAACAGCCATGACGTTAAAGCAGTAGATGTTTTGTGAGATAGGCTTAGGAAAGCAGCAAAGCTGAGAATGAGCCCAAATACCAGGCAAGCCAGAGTCACTTGATTAAACCAGCCTCTGTGCCATGCCACGAGAAGGCACGGGAAGTAGGAACCCTCTAAAACCAGGTGGGAGTTCCCTGAGGTCAAACGCCATTCAGTAAGACCAAGTATATAAAACTTTAATGAGTTGATTAAGCAAGAAGGAGATTAGATAAAACTGCTGTAGACTGAGTAGTCATAGGAAATAAGGAATTTCCATGAAAAAAAAAAAAGCGGGCTATGGGCACAGATAAGATAATGACACTGGGTTGAGTGATGCCACGGAAGCTGTCAGTTATTTCCTAGCATTGTGGATGTCTTACTTTCACTTAGCTAATTACAACCCCCTGCTCTGTACCAAGAACCATGGGCAGCCTTTCCCGTACATTAGTTCATCTACTCCTAACAATAATCATACACAGGATGTATTATTTTTCCCATCTTTCAGATGGCAGAACAGGCTCAGAAAAGTTTAGTAACTACCCTGAGTCACACAGTAGGGAGTGGAGTTTGACTGTGAGCCAAGTACCCCTGACTCCAAAACCTGGTCTCTTAACTGGCTCCCTCAATGTTCCCAGTGACAGCAGATGCAATAGAGAGCAGACACTTCCATCAACTCCTTTCGGTGGCGCCCTTGGGGCTTCCCTTTAAATGGCCTCTTCTTTCTCTAGATCACTGGTTTTCTGTCTTAGAGCACATTTTGTGGATGAAAAAAAAGAGCGCTACCGAAAGTAACCTCACAGGGTGATCTAATCGTAAATTCCTAACCGGCAGGTCATGGTGGGTAGTCGCACCCTAGGCCTTTAACTTTTTTAGTGAAAGGTTTTAAGCCAACCTTGTCCATCGTTGTGGTGCATCTAGGTTAACGCGCCTTTGAAATACCAGAAGAAATACCCCTTGAAGGGGATTCGCACCCTCAAGAGAGCACGTAACCTGGTTAACTATCCTGTAATTCAGTCCCTTGCTTTCTCCCACCTGCATGGAAATTCCCTCCTAAATTTCAAACGCAGAAAAAAGAAGCTGCAAAACCGTTTTTCTCCCAAGCATTTGAGATCTTGCTCCCTGGCATATGTCGTCAGTGTGTGTCTGATTCCTGAGGTTTGGTTTAGAACCTGAGACTTTGCATTTCTAACAAGTTCCCAGATGATGCTGGAGCTGCTGGCCCAGAGGACCATGCTTGGGGACTGCCGCTGAGGCTAACCCTATCTTTCTTTCTTGGAGCACAGTATTAGTATTTCGGAGAGGCTATTTGAATACACTCTTATTCTAGTAATTAAATAAACAACAAACATGATTTTGTTTAATTATCGGCCGTCAGAGTTTTCTTTCTCTTTCACAAAAGTAGAGTTGTTTAAGCTATGGTAGAGGTTAAACAGGGCCGGGTGAGTTGGCCCACACACCACCCACCATTTGCAGTAGCCACACTTTCTTCCCATGTGAAACCTCCCTCTGAGTTCTGGCAAGTGGCTGACAGCCGGTCCGTTTCAGACTCAACCTGTTAGGAGACTGGACGTTTCCCGAGTCTTTGCAGTGGGCTTGGGCTCAAGCAGGAAACTCATTCATGGATGAGCTGCTGTAGCTGTGTTGGCAGAGGGAGGTTTCTGTTGCAGGCCAAGCTGCCAGGAGTGCTGTTAGGATGCTGGGTGGTCCAAATATCTTCCCCTGACCCCTGCTATGCCCTGCTTTCCACACAGCTGCCCCCGCCCCCATGCTTGACAAGGTTATTTACGTCCTCCAACTGGCGCTGTCCAGTAGAAATAGACTGTGAGCCACATGGGTGATTTAGTTTTTCTAGTAGCCACCTTAAAAGTATATTCTTTTTTATTTTCCTCAAGTCTTTGAAATCTGGTGTTATTCAACACTGACAGAGGATTTCAATTCAGAATAGGCCTATTTCAGGTGTTGAGTAGCCACCTGTGACAGGTGGCTACTGTACTGGACAGTGCAGCTCTCCTGCATTTAGAACTGTTGCGACATCTGAACCACTTTGTGCAAGGCAGAAATATCCAAATATTCACACCTAAGCACTGGTTTATATTTATTAAATGTACACATGTAGGTAGCCAAAACGTGACTGTGCTGCAGAATTGACTGGGAGACCTGTTTAAAATATGCCATCCTTTGCCTAACCCCAGATTTACTTAATTAGAGGAGAGGGATCTACATTTTTAATGAGCTCCTAGGGTAATTTTGCAGCACCCAGCCCAGGACTTCCCATAGAGGGACATTTTCAAGTCACCAGACAGAGAAGCATGGAATCCCACCCAAGGGTGTCAGGCCAGGGGCCACAGGCCACGTACCGCATCCAGCAGCTCCTTTTTCTGTCTGTCAAACAGTGTGTTTTACTCGTACCTTAAGCCTGATTGGCAAAGGCATGTACTTTTAACAGATAAACATTTTGGTCATTTGTCAAGC